CTTTTAGAACATTTCTGATTCAAATATGTCATGCAATCATCAGCAGCAGGTTGCCATGTTTAGGATCATAATTGAACTTCCTAAAGCTCAAATTCTGCCTAACTATGCACTGTGTTTATTGACTTTCTGATGCAGCTAGGGAGAAAATAATTTTATCCATGTCTGAAAAAATAGGGAACAGTAACTCAAAGAATTTCATGTATTGAACGTCATCTGGAAAGGTAGATGCTAAATATTGAGGTTTACAGAGAAATATTCTGGGAATGGATTTTTCCAAAATTCTGCTTCATCAAGAAGCATTTAAAAAATCAAGGTCTTTGGAAACTATAACTAGAAATTTTATATGAAACATTATGCCTCCATAAGGATTTCTATGTTATGTCAAACTTATGCCAAATTTCTTCCAACAGTGAGTGACATTCATAGCTTGGAGTTGAATGAAAAACATACTTTTCATGATCATAAGTGTTAAATGTCTTATTACTATTTCTCATTTTGCTTCTTTCTGACACACCACTACTCAATTAACACAACCATAATGCCTAGATAATGCTTAAGATGAATCACTTAAGAGTTAAAAATTAGAAAACTTGTTCTTGATTTCAGGAATTGTCACATTACTACTGAGCTGTGATATGGCCACAAAGGAGGACTTACTCTCCAAAAATGCTTTGATGCAGCTTGTCTGGGAGAGGTTGCCTAGTGTGATAGCATTATCTGTCTTTTCAGTTAACACACAGAAATAGTTTCTCCTCCATTTAACTCTTAACAGTTTAAATCCCCATTCATAATTTCAAATGTCTTCTGTGAGGTTTAGAACAATTTATCTGAACTCTTGAATTATTTTTAATTTTAAAAATCAAATAGGCTATGCATGCTCTTTCTCTGTTTAGCTATAAAAACTACTGCTTCTTTCTCTCCAATGGGGTCCCCTCCCAAGTAAAAATGTTTGTAAGAGCAATTGCTTTCCAGTGACTATGAATCTGTGAATTTAAGTCCCCTTATTTTGGGGTCACTGCAAAATGGAAGCAGCAGCAAAATGTAATAAAGAGGAGAGACTTTGGAGCCAGAAAAAAAAAAATAGGCTGTATGCCATTCATTTCTTATTTTATCTTTATGATAAATTCGAAGCAATCAAAGGGCAGTCTTTAATACCATCATCACATCAAAGTAATATTTTACGTTTAACCCCATGCCTAACTGCTTCTCTTCTATACAGTATAAGAAATGCCTTTGGGTCATCCAGACACATCCTTATACAGGACAAAATTAGTGTGTGTGTGTGTGTGTGTGTGTGTGTGTGTGTGTGTGTGTGTAAATTGTTTAGATACTACTTTTTCATTAATCCTTGTCACACATGGGAACTGAAGTATTCAAGATTTTTACTGGTTTGATGACATGGTTTCCCAGTGCTTGCTCCAAGCCTCTTTTATAATCATTATTCCTATGAAGTTATTCAACTTGGAAATAATTGCTTGCCAAAACTGAGTTTCTCTGGTGAACCACTCAACACAGCTTTAGTTTTACAGAGAACGCCATTCTTTGTGTGCTGCTAATCTTGGCTTAGAAACACTACATATTATCCTTCCCATTTGAACAGTTCAGCTCCTGTTTTCTTAGTTACACTTTGGAACCATTAGACTTACTGCTGGAATATAAATGTGAGTCACCTAGCTGGTGACTCTTTGAAAACAAATTTTCCATGTATAGATACATGAACCCTTTGCTCATGGCAAAATTTAGTAGTTGTTAAAATTGTGAGACTTCCCAGTCTGAAAACCTGCCTTATATAGAAAAAAAAATTTTGGCATTTTATTACATGGAGTTTTGTGAATCCGATTTTAACTTTGACACTAAGTTATGTAGCTATGATACCATGTTCTAATACTTGAATGGAAGTTAAATGATTCAAATAAGTCAGTGCTTCCTGTGAAAAGTCTAAGCACTTAATTCTATTTTTTATTTGCTCTTTTAACTTGATCTCATTAAGGTTGCACTTCTGAAAAGCTATTAACAGGTCATACCATGAAAATTTTGATACATTAGAAATCTAGATATTCAGTGGATTACTCTGCAGAATACAAAATAATTTACTATCAAGTTATTCTCTAACCAAAATGACTTGGAAACCATCAGAATGGAACACTGTGCTGACATAATATGGGCCTGACTTAATAAAACAAACTGCTAACAGGTTATATCGCCATCATGGCAAAGCAAATTGAAAATGGTTTTCTATTATGCGTTCACAATGAAATCTCTGAAGGCAAAGGATTTTCCCTTGTCAAATTCCAGTGAAGTTATGTCTCCATATCTTCCAAATTCAGAGAAACTGGGTCATGGATAATTACCAGGCAGGACATGTTTGTAAAGGTGTTCTGCTCATGAGAATTCTGTATAAAAATGAAAGTACTTTATGCTGAAAATATAATACATCAAATGAATGATGCTATTCCATCAAATTAGAGTAAGGTCATCAAAAGGAACAATTTACAAAATGATAGAAAATTGGCAAAATTTTTAGAATTTATAACTTTTCATATAGTTTTAAAAGTTTGATATTAGCCCTAACCAGTTTTGCTCAGTGGATAGAGCGTTGGCCTGCAGACTGAAGGGTCCCAGGTTCGATTCTGGTCAAGGGCATGTACCTTGGTTGCGGGCACATCCCTAGTGGGGGGTATGCAGGAGGCAGCTGATCGATGTTTCTCTCTCATCGATGTTTCTAACTCTCTATCCCTCTCCCTTCCTGTCTGTAAAAAAATCAATATATTTTCAGGAAATGTTTGATATTAAATATATCAAAGGCTTGCAGATATTTTACAATATTTTAGCAGAAAAATATACTGTGGACCTCTCAAAATTTGAGGGTTTATGAGATATGGAAAGATATCTTCATGACAAAAAATTTATCTTATATTCAAACTGATTTACCAATAAGAAAGTTGTTCAATCATATATGATCTTCTTTATAACTACAAGATAATTTCCTGACAATCATACAAGTAAATTTTATTGTCAAACTTAAATTTCCAAGTATACTCACCATTTTATATACACCAATGGTGATGGGAACTTTTGACTTTAAATTTACGAATTTCTTCACATATACATGTGCACATGTGCACTGAAAATTTAGAGTGCCTCTCTAATTAAAAAACAGAAATGATGTAGGAAAGCCTGCTTTAACATACCTTGCAAACCCTGAAAACTAAACAAAAACCCTTTCACTTCTACTGTTTCTAATTGTGTGATTAGAGAGTAGGAAAAAAGATAGTCCACACTGGGTCCGCCTTCCTTTTAAAACAGAAAGTTTAAAAAGATATTTCCTTTTATTTTTCATGTAACTCAGCTGCAGAGGACGGAATCTTGAGAATTTGAAATAAAATACAGTTTTAAGGAAATTTGATACAAAATGGGCATGTCATATTAAGCTGTTTTCAAAATGATTATATAAAGGAGAAAATGAACTGAAGACATGTAATTCAGAAACCTGTGTACAGCAGAGAAGACAGAGTCAAACCACATCCGTGAAACCACTTTTATTTTTATTTTTTTTCCACATAGATAATTTCATGTCAGCTACACAAATCATGAAACAAGAAACTGATCCTGAAACTGCAAACTCAAAACCAATGGAGTGATAAACAGGTTTCCCCCAGAGGACTATTAGAAAGAATAACCAGAATATCAGGAATTCATATTTAAGAAGTAAAATGTCATATATTTTCAAATAATAAATATAGAACAGCAGTAGAGAAACTAATAGCATGAACAGCATGAAGTATATTTTATTTTTAAAACATGAAATATCTAGGCACAGTATTAGGCATTAAAGAGGACACAGAGGCATAAGTTAGTGTGCGCTGCTCTGTACAAAAATACAGTCTGAATAAATCACATTGCTAGCCATACAATTAGACATCACTTACCAGTCAGTGCATTTGCATGTTTAATAATATACAGGTACATGCTAATCCATATATATCTTTTATATTTCAAACACATAGGTCTCTCTATATTTGTCTTTAAAATTTACATGTTGAACTTACAAAAAGCTAAATAGTTGTGCAAGAAATCTGAATAACTAGCCCTGCTGAGTACTCTTTGCTACACGTGTGTGTATATCTCTCTCTCTCTCGAAGATAAACAATGAGTTTATGGTTACCAGTTTTGCTTGTGAGAAAACATCAAACAAACCTAAAGCTGCAAATACACATGTTAATGTAGCTGAGAAATTCACTTGTGTTTATTCTGATAGACAAAACTGTATTTCAGATGAGCAACAACTCATGTATTACTGAGCTTGTTAATAATAAAATACTTCCAAACAACATTAGTGATGGTAGAAATATAGCATAGGGCTCTTCACTGCTAAGGAGAAAAAGTTTATATAAGCAATCTACTTTTCAGTAAACTGCAAATATGTATACCTTAGCTGATAACATATTCTGTCACTTTTCAGCTTGTCATGTTGACAGAGAATGAAAACTTGGTAAGACTTGAGATGTGATATTAGTCTAACAGCACACTGCATCCTCTACGAGGACTAAGAAAAGTGCCTCATTGATGTCAGCACCAAAGTACTGTTCTTCCATTATTAAGGAATAAAGAGATTCTCTCACAATTGAGAGTGTTTAGTAGCCGAAATCCCTTTCCAACAAATATATTTCTCATGCTGTTCTGACAATATGCAATTAACTAACTGCAAGACAGTCTGGCCCAGATTTTACTATGTGTATTTATCAAGAAAACTGCTTCAAAAGATTCTATAATACTAACATCTTTCTGGAAAATGTCCACTCATAGTTTCTTATGGTTCTACATAGAAACATATACTTTTATAAAGGTTTCTCTCTAGGATGCATTTAATCACCTTTGTCACTGCTAAAATAAGAATAAGCCTGATACTTCATGATTCTATAGAAAAGTCAGAAGAGGTTTTTTTTTAAGCATTTGAATAATAAAATAGTTTTTTCTTTCTGTTGTTTTGGCAACAGCTCTTAAGACAAGCTGAAAGCAGAACTTTGCTTTGGGAGGGAAAGCAAATTATTAAATACTATTGATGTGGTCCTGCTCTTAACAGAATTTGCAATACAAGAGAACATAGGTGTGCTTTCAATGATTTTCTCCACTGCTTCTTTCTGCAAGAGGGCCAAAACCAGGACATACTGTTTTAGTGTCTTTGTTAACAAAAATAATTATTTATAACTTTTATATTAGAACTGTATATTTGATATAAAAATATGCTTATAATTAAACTATCCAAATTTGTATATTAAACAGGATTAAGATGAACAAGCTTGCAGTATGAGATTAGTTGCAAACTTATTCCCTATTATTGATATTTCCTTATATTTGAACAGTCAACAAATAATTCCCTTAACATAAATCCATCATAATTGTGTGCACAAATCAGTTAGCCCCTTAGTTAACATCAGAGGACCAGGTGATAACCAGATGAATTCCATTCCTCTACTGAGACATTTAGACATTCAAATAAATCTATCACTATTCCTTTATTTTTTAATAAAGACATTTAAAATACTTGAAAAAAGCAGCCTTCTACTTTAAACAAAATGACCAACCTAATTGCTACTCTTTTTTGAACTACAGTGCTTACAGAAGAATCAAAAATTTTTAGATTAATACCATTTCAATTTTTCTTCTTTATACAATTCTATTAAAACTTTCCAGTGGAATAGCAGAGAATATAGAGCAAAAGCTTTAATATGTACTTTTGTAAGGTAAGTGTGCATACCGATCTAAGCCTCTTAACAACAAGTACAAGGTTAGTGTTCAAATCACTTCACTAGAGCAAATGTTAATTCTATGTGTAATAGGCAAATGCAAGTGTAGGGCTAGGGAACAACATATTACCATTTATGCTAATGGTCCATCTTCTATAAAAACACTTAAGTTTGTTACATATGCACAATTATTTGCTGTAATGTTTGATAAATGATTTACCGGGTACTTAGGACAAAAGCAACTCATGCATATGTCTTTCTAGTTGCCCCAGGGAAGGTAGAGACTCCCAATTTTCCTCATTCTAGATATGGCTGAGGCACAATTTCTAACCACATAATGAAAAGCACCTCTCCAAGTCTTGACACCTTTCCCAAGGAAATGCTGATTGCCAAAGCATAACCTCCCATTAAAAAGAGTACTCTTGAAGATGGAATATGTACCATTAACAACTTACATTCAGAACTCCCATTAGATGCTGATGGGCAGTTCACTATTCAAGAGCTCACTCAAGCAAAAAACCAATGGCAATTTAGTCATTGGGTGGGAAAAGCAGGTGATAAGGACTCTGACAGTTAAATCCTTGTCAGCGTAAAAGGAACTTCTAAATGTTGCTTATGCCAGCTGCTCCCCTGCAGGCAATAGGAGATTCAGGCATTTCTCATTCCATCTAGTTTCTCACAATGGTTGCTGTCATATAGACCCTTCACTTGTCAAGAAAAATGACAAGAACATATTGGAAGTTTGCAGCATTTGCCTATGTCTAATCAGCTCTCTTAATTTGTGCAGGTCCCTAAAATGGATGTAGAAGCTGGTTATTATGTTGACAGCCAAAAGGCAAAAGATATTAAATCAACTTAGCAAACTGCTTGACACTCCACAAGTGTTTTAGAAAATAGTGAGTTAGAAAAGATGCAGATGTAATCCTTGTTGGATGTTTTTCCCCCCAATTTGAGACTATTGGTTCTAGTAGTAGTCTTCGTAGTTCTTAGGGTTCAGGCAGTAAAGGATGGCACCCCCAAATGAGAATATAGTTGCACCCCACGCCAGGCCATAACCCCAATTGAACTCATGGTAAATTTTCAAGCTCACAGTTTCAATGAACTTGATTGGGTAAAGAACCAGGCTGCAAACCTGTAAAACAACTGAAAGAAAAGCAAATCAAAATTAGAAAAATGTATTTACAGGAAACAGAATAATATAACATATAAATACACATAGTTACGAGAATTACTTTTTAACCAAATAAACATAAAAGCCAAAACATCTGAAGCATTGCTTACTCTAAATAGTATATACTTTAAAATATTAACATTTTTTCCTGTTTAACACTATTTTTCACAATACAGTAAGAATTACTCTAAATCACCATAATAGGTTTTGGCAAAATAATTAGTGCAACATAATAATTTCTATGGGCATACCAAGAATTACCACTTTACAAAATATATACAGGGGTGAGCAAAAGTGGGCTTACAGTTATACAAATAAATAAAATAACTAATAAATAATACAAGAATAATCTATTTTGTGTACTTACAACTATAAACCTACTTTTGCCTACCCATGTATATAATTATTAGTATTATGGCAGGTAGTACTAGTTAAGCTCAACTGCTCCACTATACAAAACCTGTGAACAGCAATTGAAAGTGCCCATCAGCAGATGAGTGGATAAAAAAGCTGTGCTACATTTATACCATGGAATACTAAGCATCAGTAAAAAGAATGATATCCTATCCTTTGAGACAGCATTGAAAGACCTGGAGAGTATTAAGCTAAATGAAATAAGCCAGTCAGAGAAAGACAAGTATCACATGATCTCACTCATATGTGGAATCTAGTGAACAAAATACACTGATGAACAAAACAGATCCAGAGACATAGAAGCAAGGAACAGACCGAGGAATTTCAAAGGAAAAGCAGGGGTGGGGGTTGGGTAGGGAGTGATTAACGGGAACTTACATGCCTTAATGGACACAGACAACAGTGTTCAAGGCCTGGGAAGGACAGGTGCGGTTGTAGAGGGGGTTAATGGGAAAAAAGCAAATAAAGGGGACATCTGTAATACTTTCAACAATAATGAAAAATAAATAAAATATGGAAGATGAGAAGGAAGCACCCAGTGTGTGTGTGTGTGTGTGGGGGGAGGATGTTTTCCAACTCCTGATATATAAAGTCAATTTTTGGTTAAAATGATTATTATTTAGCCCATCTTAAAAATACTGTAAACTCCAAAAGTGTAGCAACAAACAATTAAGGAGTAGGACACAAGAATAAACCTTGATAAAATAAAAAAGATAGTTTATTACATTTTTTTAAAAGAGCAACAGGATGGATAGTGTGCTTAATTAAACTAAAATTCTGTGCTTAAAAATCTATTCTCATCTGTTCTCAGTAGCTGTAAAAGATCATTATTATCAATATGATTAATGTTCCTAGAAAGTCTGTATAGCAGTCATCTATCTTGGGCATAAAACTGATGAAGTACAGAAAATTCATGAGGGCATGATTCCTCAAAATAATTACTTTCAATGAAGCTCTATGTGAGGGTCAAGTGACCTTTCTGGAACCTGATATAAGAATTCTAAACATTTTGCCCTGCAGTTCAACATTGCATGGGCCAGTACTTTCACATTACTATTGAGAGTGAATGGATAAACAGGTCCCTCAAAAAGGAGAATCTCTCAGCATCCAAAACAGAAATCACACCTTGTTTGTAGTTTAAACATCTGCTAAGTTTTAAGTCGTCGTTAGGATAACTGACAGCATATTATATAACCCATACGATTTGCAGCCAGTAAGTTCCAAATGTATATCAATTTTTAAAAAATTCAGCTGGCTCTGTGCCTTTGTGAAAGGGCACGTTCGTGTTTTAAATGTCTTAAAACTAACAAGCAGTCAATCACTATCAACCATGGGCTATAGGTGAAGAAAATGCCACAGTTACTAAGTTTTTTTTAAAAACAAGGCATTTCTCCTTAAGGTTTCTGTATTCCAGTCACTAGTCAAATCATGACTGATCCTGGCAGAACAGGACTAAAGTATGAATGTGAATAGGAACAGGAATCTATTTACTCATTGGATAAATTCATTCACTCAATAAATCTTTGGATATTTCTAAAGTGATACAGTTTGAGGCATTGGTAACTAAAGTGCTACCCTTATGGGTAGGCAGTCCATTGTAATTAAATACAGAATATGACAGTTATTGCTAAGGGACATAAAAATACAAGAAAGCAAGCAAACAAGACAGAGGATGCTATGCTCTTTTAGAGAGTTGAAGAAGTCCTCTTTGGAGAGGAGTCATTAGAGCACAGACCTGAATGAATGGGGGATGTAGGTCAATATAGTGGGGAGTGAGCAATCTGGGGGGAGGGTACAGGCAGTGCAAACTCCTGCTGCAGGAGCACACTGAGTGAAGAGAAACATAATTTTCACTAGTTGAAGTACATTAGAGCAAGGAAGGGAGTGGCATGAGATGATAGAAAAGACAGCCAGGGGCCCATTCAGGGATAAACATGTGAACCATGGTCAGGGGCCTGAGGAGTTTGAGCGGGTAAGTAAGTATTAACTGATCTGAACTATATTCTAAAAAGATCAGACTGCTTTTTTGGTGAACCAGCCATCGTTATTCACAATACTTAAGATGTGGAAATAGCCCAAGAGCCCATCAGTGGAAATAAGCTAATCTGAGAAAGGCAAATATTACATGATCTCACTTATTTGTGGACTCTAATGAACAAAACTGATGTAATCTTTAGGAGACTCTTTATGTCGTACTATATGATTCACAATAGACCTTTTATTACACATGAGATCAACAAAATATTGATACTATGGTCACCACTTAAGCTTTCAAAATATTTTTTTTATAAAGGTGTTTTCTACTCTATTAGAAGTCTGGAATAGGTGCCCAATAAACAGTTGAACGAATGAGTGACAGTAGTGATGAAATACTAGATCTACCAGTATAACTAATATGTGTTCTTGAGCAAGAACACATATATATACTTCAGCCCTTCATTTTTGTAACACCTACATTCTGATCAGTCTTCATTGGTACAAGAAGAAGAACACTGAAATGAACAGCAGGGGGCAGCAGAACACTTCTGATTTTATATTTTTAGCTCAAAGTACCCTTCAAATCTTGAGAAATTTCTCTATTCCCTACTTTAAACAGCTTTAAAAAATTCATCTAACAGCCTAGATGATTCTGTCAGTGTCTTCATTATTGACAGTCACAGGGGCTTATTTTGCAGTCTTCAAATCAGATATGACTGACAGGGTAAATTGAAGGGACCACAAGACTATTTCAGCTTGAGTCAAAAAGAACAATATATTCAAAGCTATTCTTATAAATGAAAATTGAAACACACAAAACAATGTACTGGGCTTTTAGTCTTATAAGCCCCCTTTTTAAATAGCTTCCTGACTTTCTGTAAAACCTCCATTTTACCTTGGTTGATATTTTAATCATAGAATGCTTCATAAAATGATGGCTGTTAAATTAATGAGTATGCCACTGACCTCATACAATTCAAATGTCTGATGGTGCAAGTGATACATTATGATTTTACAGTATAACCATGTTTATGTCCAAATAGATTTATACCTCTAAGGATGGATATATATATGTATGTGTGTGTGTGTGTGTGTGTGTGTATGTGTGTGTCTATAGACACACACACACACACACACACACATATAAATTTCTTTCAGTTTCATGTCAGAAAAAAATAATGTTGCCTTAAGATAACCAAGGGGGTTAAATGAGGGGGGGAAAACTGGATGTGAGACAGCTGCAATACATCTGTAATTCTTAAAGTGACAGCCTTGTCAAGAACTACTATTTATTCACCTTTTAGAAGTTTAGACATTGCCACTGTGCTCTGTGAAATGCTTAACACACTAAAAACTGATATGATAAACCTTTAGCCAATTTACCTTAAAATACAACAAATGCCTCTCAATTTGTATGCAACGCAGCAACTGCATACTGCTTCTGCATGAGATGGGAGGGTAGTAGAAAGGTTCATGCACCTTTAATACCAGTTTGAAAGTAATGAACATATTTACCTGCTGCAAAAAGCATGACGGCAACAGGTCTGTAGAAGCGCCTTCGAGATCCCACGCAGATAGAAATCAAACCCACCAGGAATGCAATGAGAATGATAGCAGCACCGCCCAAGAGTAAAGCCAGAGTAGCAATCTGCCAATCTAGAGAGAAAAAAAGAAAAACACTGCTTTTAAGCAGTAAGTCCTCAAGGAATCAAGAGAACTATGCTCAGCAGCCTTCACCTTGCTGCTGCTAAACGGATGTTAATTTACTGCATGCTAAGCATCCTTTGGGATTTGGAATGTTTTGCAACAAAAATTACTATAAATGTCTTATTCAGAAAAGTTTCCTATGTTAAACTCAGCAGAGTTATTAGACCAGAGGTTTGCCATGCTTTTCTTCCAAGGATACTATTTTAAGCATTCATGCTAAATTTGGTGCCCCCTCCCTGACCTACTTTCCTTATTATTATTACATTTTCTATTGAACTCTATAAAGCTCAGAGATCTTAAGTACAAAAAGTAGAGAACTTGATGAATTTTAATATGTAGTATACACCCAAGTAAATACCATCCAGATTAAGATACAGAATATTTCCATTACCCAGAAGGTTCCCTTGTGTCCCTCCCCCCCCCCAGTCAATAGTCACCTCCCCACAGGCTACTGATGGACATCTATCATATCTCATATGGAAGCATTTTTCTTGTCTTTAAACTATATGTAAATGGTTTGAATTCTTTTATGCCTGGCTTTTATGTTTCTAATATTCATCCATGTTGTTGCTTGTGGCAACAGTGCTTTAAAAAAAATTGCTGTGCTTTCTTGGAAAGCCTTCCTTCTCTCTCTCTCTCTCTCTCTCTCTCTCTCTCTCTCTCTCTCTCTCTCTCTCACACACACACACACACACACACACACACACACACAGCCTTCCTTTTCACATACACACATACCCACCCCCCAAGTTTTTATTTGCCTCCCTTCTTCCTTTCCAAAAACAACTCCCCAGCAAATTAGCATTAGGGGGATTTGTTGTTGTTTTTCCTCCCCTCTTTCATTTCATTGTAACCTTACTTTTGTATTTACCACCACAGGAATGGTTTCTGAAATTAGGAATTTCCAGGGATCCAAAATGACCTCTAAATGGCTGATTAGCCCCTTTCGTCACTCATGCACACAGACAGTAAGCGTATACTGATTACTTACCATGTGCAGGCCCCTGCACATGGGTACTTTAAGAGTCTCTCATGCCGAGTGAAACATAAACCTCACTGAAATGCATTTGTCATTTCTTATAAAAGAAAGATGTAGAAATAGTATGACGGAAAACTGGCCTACTTTCCATTCCATAAGAAGAGCAAAATGTTCTCTACGAACAAACAAAGTGAATAGATAAAAGCACTATCCAGCTTATTAGGAAGCATCACAGAAAATGATACTGGGGAGAACATTTTTCAGCAGGGGTTGTTTGGAAGTCCCAGGCTGCCTCTTCTGGCTCTCACTTGAATGTACGTGCAGGAAATGAAAATAGACTTTAATCCATGATTAAATTGCCATACAGTCTATCCAAAGTTAAGAACTCATGATATTTGGATACTGCACACTGAAATTATCTCTCTAGAAACCTTCCAAAGTGCACTCTTTGCTGCTGGAGTCTAAAAGATAAATGGAGGAACCTACAATATCCTATACTTAATTTATTTACATTTGTATATCCCTGCCTCAAGGGTCCTCTTGTATATCCTCTTCTAATAAATTCTGGATAATAACTGGCATTGGACTGGAATTTGCACTGTGTTCAGGAAACAACAAACAAACAAATAAACAAGGGGGAACAAATCCACACTTTTTTAAATATAAAGATGAAACACAAAAGTAGAGAACATTTTTTTCATGCAACAAAGCCATATAACTTCAAACCAAAGTATATCTTGCTTTCAACTAGAGTTTAAAAGTATAGCCATACTATGGCTTTATATTCTATAACAGCATGTAGCTTTGGATTTTTAAAAAACCCAAAAGAATAATCTTTACATTTGGAAATCTCGAAATTTATTTTAAAAAAATTTATATACATAGCACAAACATTGCACTTTAACAAAACAGAAATCCTTCTGAAAACATAAGTTGAAATTTCTGAGTAATAAATCAAATATTTTAAAAATATATTTTTATTGATTTCAGAAAAAAAAGGGAGACGCCGTAACTGGTTTGGCTCAGTGGATAGAGCATCGGCCTGTGGACTGAAGGGTCCCAGGTTCAATTCTGGTCAAGGGCATGTACCTTGGTTGTGGGCACATCCCCAGTAGGGGGTGTGCAGGAGGCAGCTGATCAGTGTTTCTTATCGATGTTTCTAACTCTCTATACTTCTCCCTTCCTCTCTGTAAAAAATCAATAAAAATATATTTAAAAAAAAAAAAGAAAGAAAGGGAGAGGGGGAGAGAAACATCACTGATGACAGAGAATCATTGATCAGCTGCCTCCTGCATGCCCCCTACTGGGAACTGAGCTTGCAACCTGGGCATGTGTGCTTGACCTGAATCAAACCTGGGAGCCTTCAGTACGCAGGCTGACGTTCTATACACTAGGCCAAACCGGCTAGGGCATAAATCAAATTTTAATCTTATCAAAGTGTTTGGACTACAAAGAAAATAGTATCTTATCCATCTATCCATTCAGTTCTGGAGATTTTGTTTAAGAGAACCCATGCTGAATACCTTCTAGATGTACTATTACTTTTACTTTATTTTATTTATATTTTGTTGATAGTATTACAGATGTCTCCTGTTTCCCTCCCCCCCCTTTACCTTCCTTCTCTCAGCCCCTACCCACCCTCCAGGTCTTCACCCCCCTACTGCCCGTGTCCATGGGCTATGCATATCTATATATATAGTCTATATCAGGGGTGGGCAAACTTTTTGACTTGAGGGCCACAATGGGTTCTTAAACTGGACCGGAGGGCCGGAACAAAAGCATGGATGGAGTGTTTGTGTGAACTAATATAAATTCAAAGTAAACATCATTACATAAAAGGGTATGGTCTTTTTTTTTTTTTAGTTTTATTCATTTCAAACGGGCCAGATCCGGCCCGCGGGCCACAGTTTGCCCACGGCTGGTCTATATATGTATAAAAGGCTAATATGCTAAGTGTCTGACCATCTGACTGGTCACTATCATGTACACTGACCACCAGGGGGCAGACACTCCACGCAGGAGCTGCTGTGATGCACACTGGCTATTTACAAAGAAACAGCACCATGGACCTGGCACCCACAAAGCAACACTCGGCTTCCCCAAAGTAGGACACAGGCCCCGCTACCACCCCGGAGCCACAACCCACCAAATCGCAACCGACACTGTCAAGACCGAATGGCACAAAATGTGGCTTCCTCTTCCTAGCAACCAGCCTCCTTGGAGTGTCTTCAGCCCAGGAACACAGGTAGAAACATTTTACACTTTAACCAAATGTCTGTGAAGCATTCTCCGTGGCTTACCTCATTTGATCCTCAAAGAAGTACAGGAGTAGGTAGATAGGAGACTCAGTGGAATCCTATTTTCTATTCATTAGCCAGAAAACAGAGATTTAGAAAGCTCAGAAACTTGACCTGACTGAAAAGAAGAAATGGTGGACCTTGAAAATGACTTCAGCTTTCCTTACTGCACAGAATATAGTCAAACACTGCTGCAGTTAAATATTTTACCCTTTGTTCTCCCTGCGTGATCTACAATAATAATCTGCTTTGTGTTGATATTTAGTGGTGTGTTGCTGACAATTACCTGGAAGAGAAGTTGGGGTGCTTCACTAGGCTGGAAAAAGTTTAGCTAAATCAGAAAGCAGGTCTAATTAAGCAAGTTTATTCTATATCTATAAAAGGCTAAGTTGAATTGCACATGCGCGATAAAGCTTTTGCTGGTGCCAATCGCACGCATGTTTTGATCTGTTATTGCCAATCGTGAATTTGGTTGACACTTCTATTATAGAGAAAGGGCAAACAGCAATATTAAAATATTTCTTCTAATTAATTTCCTTTCGATGTGCATGAACTCGTGCACTGGGCCACTATTAAGTATATAAGTTCTGTGGTTTATCTCTTCTTGTCTCCCCAATCCTCACACTGAGGTATGTCAGTTTGTTCCATGCCTCCATGCTTCAGTCTTATTTTGTTAATGCATTTTGTTCATTAGATTTCACAAATAAGTGTGATAATGTGATATTTGCCTTTCTTAGATTAGCTTATTTCACTTAGCATAATATCCTCCAGCTCCATCCATGCTCTTTCAAAGGGTAAGAGATCCCTCTTTTTTACAGCTGCATAGTATTCCACTGTTTAAATGACCCACGGCTTTTTTTATCCACTCATCTACTGATGGCCACTAGGGCTTTCTATGTACAACATCATGTCATCTGCGAATAATTGAGAGTTTTACTTCCTCCTTTCCAATGTGGATGTCTTTTATCTCCTCTGATCGCTGTGTCTAGGACTTCTAGGACAATGTCAAACAGGAGTGGTGAGAGTGGACATCTTTGTCTTGTTCCTGTTTGTAAGGGAAACACTTCTAGTTGTTGCCCATTGAGCATTAGGCTGGCTGTAGGTTTGTCATATATGGCCTTTGTTATTGAGATTATGATCACTCTATTCTCACTTTTCTGATAGTTTTTATCAAAAAAGGGTGCTGGATTTTGTCAAATGCTTTTTCTTCTTCATCTATTGATATGATCATGTGATTTTTTTGTCTTTCAATTTGTTTATGTGATTTATCACATTTATTGATTTGCAAATATTGTACCAGTCTTGTATCCCTGGAATCAATCCCACTTCGTCATGGTGTATGATCTTTTTAATATATTGCTGGATCTGATTTGCTAATATTTTGTTGAAGATTTTAGTGTCTGTGTTCATCAGGGATATTGGCCTGTAATTTTCTTTCTTTGTGGTGCCTTTATCTGGTTTTGGAATTTGGGTAATGCTGGCCTCATAAAATGAGCTTGGAAGTGTTCCTTCCTCTTAAATTTTTTGGAATAATTTGAGGTGGATAGATGTTAGTTCTTCTTCTTTGGTAAAATTCTCCTGTAAATCCATCCGGCCCAGGACTTTTGTTTGCAGGGAGTTTTAATTTTATTTTTTATTTATTTATTAAGGTATTACATATGCGTCCTTATCCC